GTATCCAGGTCTCCTTGGAAAATTAATATATTAATCTTTACTATCGGAAACTTCGACCGCTCTCATACTGTGCAGCAAGAAAATTTTCCATTTGCTTTGACTAGTGTTGCATCATCTGGCGTTTTTTTACTGGTTTATTTCGACTCTTGAAAAGATCACTGGCTGAACCATTGCCCCAGCAGACGCATTTTTTCCTTCAACGAAATCAAAAAACACTAAATCTTTGCGTATTTCAGGACAGTGAAATTTTGAAGCAGCACGATGTTTTGGTAAATGCTCTAAGACAGACGATAGTTGGTTATTTGAATATTTAGCTGGTATTAATCGAATAATTTGTTTTTAAAGAATTTGACTATTTTTTCTATTTTCTTTTCTACAAAATTTCGAAAAATTATAAAACTTGTAACAAAATTTTATTAATGAAGATTAAGGAACGGAATTGTGTGTATTGATTAAATAATAATTACGCAGACCGTTAGTGGGAAGAAAAGAAAAGAGCCTCATTTATGGTACGAAAAAATAATTTTTGACCTAATAGTTCGTAAAAGCTGTGCTTCGGTAGCTCAAATGAGCTTTATCAGTACAGTGGTTGTTGTACACCAAGACAGATCTAGCAGCCAGTGTAGGTATTCCGCGTTAGTAGAATCCGATTCATTTTTCTGTACGTCATTGCCTTCAGAGGCACGCCATGTATTCTTCGCTGTTTCACAGCCAGCACCCTTCTGTTCAGTTTTCTCATCTGATCCGTACGTCACTGCTTTCAGCATAACGATTTTGAAGAGATGGGCACGGTCGTTTCGGTTTGATAGTTCGAGTGTACAGACGATGCTGTAGAATTTGCTGCAGCTGACAGCCCTTCGACATGTCTGGTTAGAGTTTATAGCGCGCATGTTTATATCGCGTCTCTAAAAGTTGCTGTCCGTTAACTTGCTGCAGATTATTATTATCATCGCGCGATGTTCCTCCGCTTTCTCCAGGAAGGGTATATTTAATTGCTGCAAATGGGTGTAAAGTATGCTGTTCTTATTATAAAATTATAAAATGTTTTTTTTTCTCCTTTTCCTCTTTTTACCCTATGAGTCAGAATGCAGTTTGCATTCCTGCGTGTTTACAATTTTCTGCGTTTTCGTCCTTTTTTTTACGCCTTTAAAAACCTCATATTCTTTCCCCTTATCCTGTTTACTCATATTTTGGAATGCGCTTGCATTCCCAGCCGTTTTGCTTCTGTCGTTTTTCCTTTCAATTCCCTTTTTAAACCCCTTAAAAACCCTTACTTCCATTTTCTCTTTTCACATTCCCGTTTACCTTAATTACCATTTTCACATTTTCAACCCGTCCAAAAAACTATCACATCCTTTTTCTCAGTTTCTCCTTCACCTGGACGACGGCTCTCAGTCTTCTCGACGGGCTCTTCAAGGTTTTTGGGACTCGACTTCGTCTGGTACACTCCTGGGCCTCATCGCCATTCTCTGCTATAAAGACTCTTGCTCGGCAAGCTCACAGACTCGATAGATTCCAAGCGCCGCACCTCGTGCTGTTTATTTGCTGTTTGCACGATTCATTATCAGTAAGTCAAAAACTTGCTTTTGGTTCTCTACAGCGCGCGTACGCTCATAGTACCACGCCACGCAGCGATCCACACACGTAAACACTCATTACATAAAAATTTTTACTTGGGCATATAATCTCGGGTAAATATGTATCTGTCAAAACCAAAGAGCGCTAACAGTCACGGTTCGCCTTTTATTCAATATCCTAACTCAGTAAGATGTATCTAAATCTAACTCTCGATGTTATGTTGTTGCTGTTGATAATTTCTTAGTAATTAGACTTTTGCTTATTAAAACTCACTTTTAAGGGAGAGCCTTTCGCATCGGGCTCTATAAGGGCAATGAGAAAAAGAATGTCTATGCCACGAACCTCTTTTCTTCCAGAGACGAAAGACCAACCAAAAAGTACTCGGCCCTGCCGAATTGCGTGATTAGACAGGGGGAGGAGGAGGCTAGAAAATATTTTGGA